AGTCATTTGATCTTATGTGGGGAATGAAAAAATTGGTTTTACACTATTGGCAATTTTCATCCTGCTTAATAGGAGACTAGTTGCGGCTTTAATATTTAAATTAGAAGCCGTTAAAAAGAGTAATCTTCACGCAGTTCGACCCAGAGTTTGGCGGAAACATTTCGGCTCCTTGCGAGCACATCTGAGTTCCCTTAGAAATCCTTACTAACAGCTCTCATACTACATTCATTGTGCATTGAGAAACTGTCTCATGCAACGCTTTCCACTCTTGAAGGAACTGGAGCTGTAGAGACTTGACGGCAGCTAGACCGCGACTTTACGTGCTTTAATTCAGTTGGTACATCCCCACTTTCGGCTGGTTTCAGCGATTCTGCCTAATCGGGAAGCAATGCCAGTAAAATTGGGTTTCTGACAATTGAATGTTGTCTTAGTACTCGAGATGGCCTTGGATAGACTGGAGTTGGATCTATGTCTAATTTTATTTTTTAATTTCTATCGGACCAGACTTTCGCTTGTTTTCACAGTAAATGGCCACCATCAACAACGAGTCGGAGCGATGCCAAAACATAGTGAAACGGCCCAAAGGGATGAGCGGCATACAATCTAACGTGGTATCGGAACTAGCCTTGAATGGTCTTTTACGAAAATAAATCTTGAAAAGACTTCCAGCGGTTTCGTAAGAGTGGAATGCATATCAATTGCCTCCAGCATTGTCGTTGAACGCTGTCTTTTCACTTGGGGCCTTGCCCTTAAATCCAACAAAATGTCTCGAAGGTGTGTTGAACTCTAGATTTTTTTAAGTAGACTTCACTTGGCCGAACTCTTAAACAAAGATTGTGTATAGCTCACATTTTCGAATAAATTCCTTTAAGGTGCTATTCACTTAATACAAAGCGTCCTGCTTAAGTACACTTCAATTATTTTTACAACATTTCGATTGCCTTTTCAAAAATACATGAATTTCGTTTAATAACGTTTCACTTAAGTGCGCCTCACATTAAACCAAAATTTTCTTTAAATGACTTATTTGACCCAAAGTTTTTGATAAGCTTGAAATGAATCTTCACTTCTGAGTGAATATCGTTTATGTTCATCTCACTTAATTGCGTTCCGCTTAAAGCCCTTCTGCTGTTGTATATTTTATTTTTTTTTTGTAATTTCTATAACTACGTCGCGCTTTACAGGGTTTCTTTTAAGTGCTTCTGGTTTAGCTTCAGGGTTTTTCTGAGGCTTTCTTTTAAGTACATATCAATTAATTGCCTCCCCCTTAAGTACATACCATTTATGCAATTTTCGAATTATACTCCTCCGCTTATTGGATTTAGTTTTTTCGATAAATATCAAAACAAACATTATTTGCGTAAATATCATTTAAGTGCCTTTCACTTAATTGAGTCTTGCGTAGGTACATTTAACTTGTCCTCTTAAATGAGCGGATCTGGTGTAGCAGCATATTATGTAGGCACAACTCCAGTGAAGCTCCAAAATTTTGTTTATAATACATCTTCATTGTGATAGATTTCCCTTAATTGCGTTCCACTTAAGTGCACTTCACTTATTTTGATACAATTCTGAAGCTGAATTTCGACTTATTTCGAACTTACTTTCGATCTCTTCTAGAGTCAACACTTACCACCCCTTAAACCTTGGAAGAAATTCTTTTCTAGTTTTGAAGTTATGCGCCTACCCACCCCCTCTTGTTTTTTATTCAGCTTTCCCTATTTTTAAGCCACTCTGCATACATATCTCTCTTCCTCTTCCTCTTCCTATCTCTCAGTCTCTTACATAGCCAATCAATTTAGGTCTCGGTTTTCCTCCTTCCCTCACACCCTCTTACTTTCTCTACCAGCGTATTTTACTTCCCTTTCTTTTCGTTTTAACTCTCTCTCTCTCACTCTTGCATAACATGTCTCACTTATATCGCTCTGATTTCCCTATTTTGCCGCTATGCTCTGTCTATGTTGTGCTCTTCTCTCACTCAGCGCTATATGCATTGTTTTTAAACTCTCCTGCTCTTACTCTCCGTTTCTCTCTCTCTCTCTTTCTTTCTATTTCTCTTACTCTCTTTTTTATACACTAACATATGCGCTCTTTCATTACTTCTAATGCGATCTTTGTTGACGTATATTTATATAAAATATATATTTCTAAACAAAAAACCTTTAAAAATTCAAAAACAAATCAATTAAAAATAAACTATCAATTATTTATTTATATATGTCATACATAATATATCTATACTTTATATACTATATATAAATAACCTTAAATATATATCTCTGAACTCGCCCCCAAATCTACTTATCAATTTAAATATATATATATGCATATATATGAAATCAATCAAACCGATCGAACATCAATCAATCAATTTAGTATACTCGGCATGAATCTATTCGGATGTCAATTCTGCGAGACCATTAACGATGAAAGGGTATGCGATCGTAAGAATTTCGACAGCCTGCTGTGGGCGCTCGTCACTGTTTTTCAGGTAGAATTGCTAAAAGCAAAAAATAGCATTATAACTAATCCTATACAACTAACTACTACTATTATCTACTACTATTACTGCTACTAACATATTTTGATTTTTAACTAGCTAATAAAAATATTTTTATGGATTCTTTCGAATACCTATAAATTTTAGTACGAAAAAAATCGTGTTTTATATAAAATGTTATTTGCTATAAAAAAAATTTAATTTAAATTGCTGTGTTATTTTGTGTTGTGCCAAAATGTGGAAAGATAAAAAATGTTTAAATTTGTATGTTAATTTCTAGCGATTATATATGAGGGCTGTAAATTTTATTTAAAATTTAATTTTTAATATATTTTTTGCCTTTTTGGAAATATTTTCAAATTCATTTATAATTATTTATGTTTTTTTCTGAATTTCTCACGTTATTCGGCAATCCCTTTCTACAATTTTTGTTAACAAAAAACTGTATATAGAATTTTGTAAAAAATGTTTAAAAATAATTCTTTCCTGCTAGTAAACATATTTTTCCATACATCATTGGCTGAATATCTTTTTGCATTTTTTCATAATTTTTAATTTTGGTAAATATTTGTAGTTTTCGTTTTATTTTTTTGTGATTTATATTTTGCTGATATTTTTTTAAATAATTTGCGTACCTTAATTTTGCTTTTGCTTCGCTCTTATTTAATCAGGATTTTATTTAGAATAATTTTTTCCTGATTAGTGTTGAAAATATTTTAAGAAAAGTAAACATGCAGATTATATCCAGAAAACAAAAACATAGCATTTAATACTTTAGTACGCAACCCCGTGTATGTGCGCATAGTATGTATGAAGTATGTAGACAAAGCATTGCTGGAAAAATAACTTCAAGAAAGTAGTGAAAATCATTTAGAAAGTACACCTTCTGAGAATCTTAGGAAATTGTTAGCTGATAGTGTTCGAATATGTTTATATGTATGTATATAGCTACACCAATAAGTCTCTATATAGAGTACATACTATGTCCCGCATGACTTAGCTGGTTAGCGAAAGAATGTTTTAGGATATACCACATACATATGTTTCGTTAGTTTTTAAGCAGAAAAGGGCGAAGAAAGCAGTTGAATTTAACAATTCTAAACTACAGTCAACAACAGGTAAGCCTTTAAGCATTTCGCATTTTTTGAGTAACTCTCTTTGTTTTGGAATACCTATCAACTTGTACGATTTTTTGTGCATGCTTGAATGCGCTTTTGTAAATATTTGAAACACTTGCTCGCTTACATAATCATTGGCGCATTTGTCACTCACGCAGTTAGTCATATCTCAGTTTAACTCAAAACAGCCAGTAAATGTATACTACAAGTGCCATTTTTCACTCAATTTTTGGCTATTTGATTCAACTAGAACATACTCACTCCAAAAAATTTTCACTCAGATCTCACTCAACTCAATACAACTTACACCAATAGCAAATCAACCGTTTGAGTGCAAATTACTGCGCCTTATTTAAATAAAAGTAAATATGAGCGCTTCTCCAAAAAAAAAAAAATCTCACTCAAAGAGAATTTCACCAGAATCATCTTATTTTTTATACTACATTGCTGTTCAGTCAGCTTTTTGTGCGTAAATTCTTTCTATTCCTATAAGAATTACACCTGACTCAGCTATAACTAAAATACTACAACAATTATGAATATTTCACTCAACAAAAACTGATCGCAATCAAAGTGAATTTCACTCAAATCATCTTTTTATTGCTGAGTGTTATTTTTTGCTCTCGCTCAAATGCAATGCATTTTTTAACAACTTAACAGTTACCTGTTTAATAAAATAATTTCTCTCATTTTATCAGAATTTCACTGAACAAAATAGGAAAATTCCCTCTACTTAAGCGCTTTCAGCTCAGTTTGGTTAAGTGTATTTGACGGTTAAATTTTTTAGCATTTTGATCAACAAAACCACAACTTTACTCAAAGCAGGGCCGACTTAAATCATTTTAAAAGTTTTAGCTTCATCGGTAAAAACATCTTTAATTAATTTACTCTTGATTAAATCGACAGATTAATCAATTAAGTTTCAGAGTGAAATTTTTTGCTCAGTCCAATTAAAATTATAACCTTTGGCGCAAAAGCACAAAGCTGGGCGTATCATGATCTCTCAAGTTGTGCTTTCACTTACCCATGATCCATTTAAAAGCACTCAGATCACAAAAAAAAATTTAAGCTTTGAAAAGATCGCACTCAAAATAACAACTGAGAAACCTGAGTCTCAGTACCACCTTTACCCAATTCCTCAGGACTACACTCCCACACCTAAATCAGTCAGCGGAAAATACTCAACTTGTCAACCAATCAACGCGTGCCACTGAAGAATCACTGCCACTGCACTCAATCATTTGCGTCACTCACTTAGCTTTGCACCCAGCGCACTCGCACGTTTGCTTGCCTTTTTTTTTAAGAAATTGCATGTATGAGAATATCTGAAAAAATATATACAATTGCTTGGCTCTGCTCGCTCGCGCATTGTGCTCAGAATACATAAATTTTTTTATTCATTGCACGCTCTCTCTCACGCTCACTCATATTCAACATGCCGCTGTACTTAAAACTTTGCTGTTTAAATCCAAATGAAATTAAATGAGCTCTACTAAATAACACATATGTTTATTTTCTAATGGTTTTAGTTTTTGTTATTTTGCCTCTCATTGTTGTGTCACATTAAAGTCTCTCTCTCTCTCTTTCTCTCTGTTAGTCTAATGTCATTATAAGCTGTCCAATTGAAACTTATTACACAATGTACTTTAACGCCTAAGTAATATCTTTACAATAACTAACACCGCACCACTTTTGCGCTCTCTTACAAGTAACAATGCTACTCAACACTCTTTCTTTAATTACTCCTTTGGTTTCCCTCACCATTCTCGTTTTCTTACCTACACCAACCACTCTATAAGAGTTGCAAACCCTCTCGCTAACTCTCTTCACACACAGCTACTTGCGTTAACTTTGCTCTCGCTCAATTTCTTTAACCCGCTATTGACCGGCTTAGACAAATTTCACTAAAAAAATAGACAGGTTGGAAAAAAAACCATTAAAAACACATAAAGCTTAAAAATTTTTTGCTGCTCTCTGCTAAATTTTGGTTTCTTCTTTTTATTTTTATTGTAGAAAATTCAGGTCACCTAAAAATAATTCATTCTTACATTTGTAAATTAGACGCAAATAGGGCTATAGTTTTTTTGTAAATAAATCGCAAGAAAAATAGGAAAAATCTCTCGAATCATAGAAACAAAATTTTTCGTTTAATTTTATTAATGTTTCGAAAAGCGTTTATTCATGTACAAAATACGCCAAATAGCTGTAAATTAATATATAATTGTATGAAAATTACGCAATCACAAAAATATTTGAGACAAGCATACAAAACTCACAAAAAGAAAGAAAAACAAAAAACACTCACAGCTCACACAAACACCAGGCATACTCACAGACCTGCAGATTATATACAGTGCAGGTCAAAAAAATTCGCACAGCCAAAATAGAGAAGAGACATTTTTTTCCCAATATTTCCTAAAGAAACCATTCCAAAACTGTATATATATGAAAAAGTCCCAACCGCCCCCTCTCCCATGCCAAACTTTTTATTAATTTTGCAGACTATAGCCTACACAACCCACGCGTTTACAACAAAAATACAGACCTTTTTTTTAATATATATATATATATAGCGAAAATATGTATACAAAACAACAAAAAAAATATATTTTTTTTTTATATAAATACTTAATACACACATACATTATATATCAATAGCTATGATTATTTTTAAATCTACTTACTCTTACAACTACTTTTATACTCTTACTCGTATAAATATAAACATAAACTACATATATACTTATACAACCTTCAAAAAACTATATATATATATATATATATATATATAAATATATATATGCATATACTCGTGTGTGAACCTACAGCATATTGGGCATGTATCTATTTGGCGGTAAGTTTTGTAAATTTGTGGAGGATACCGGAATCGAACGTGAATGTAGGTGTCCCGAAATAATCAGCAAACATCCACAATGTGAATGTGATCGCAAACACTTCAACAACATTTTATGGGCCACTGTTACAGTCTTTCAAGTAAGAACAACACACCAAAATTTCCAACTTACTAAATACTTAAGTAAACAAACTATCCTCTAAAATACTTAATTACATACTTCTTTTTTTTTGAAATGAGCAAAAAGAAAACTTTCTAAGTACTTAAAAATATATTTATATAATTCAATAGTATTGTCATATGTTTCACAAAGTAGTGTAACTTTGGTTTATTTTACTCTAATTTTTATAGAGTTTGGATATTTTTACGAAAGTGATTTAATTAATAGTTCTTTCCCTAAAAAAGTGTATGATAAATATCGGACAAGAATTTCATTTCTCCAAAATAGATTTCTTTAAAAAAATATATATTTTGAAATATGTGTTTGCACAACAAATTAGTACAACATGAATTCACATTTTTTTTTATTTTTTTCTATCAAATTCTATTATTTTAAGCGGCAAACAAATTTGGGACAATGTACAAAAAAATTAAAAATATATATATATATGAGTATTTAAAATTTTTTTTTTTAGTTCTTTTTAATGCACTTCTGTTAATGCTTCATTTGAGGAAAAAATTGTATTTTGTTTTTCCGATTTGATTCAATTTTATTAATTTGTATTTCTCACTGAAACGAAAGGGATCATTCTTAGTACGAGGAAGAAGTAATTTTGGTAAAAATCAGACAACAATTTTTTTATTTCGCTTATACAATCTGCTTGAATAAAAAATATATTTTGAAATATGTTTTTACATAAAAAAAATAGTAAAACATAAATTCCTATTTTTTTGTCTTTTTTCAATCAAATTTTGTTTTATATTATTTTAAGCGGCAAACAAATTTGGGATTATGTACAATAAAATTAAAAAAAAAAAGTTTATGAGTATTTAAAAAAAAATTTTTTAATTCACTTTTT